TATGTAGTAGATTAAAACTAAGAGAAAACTAAGCTTGTTAAATTTAATTACATTTGGGGGTCGGCGCCATGGCACAGTAGGTTAATCCTCCACCTGCAGCGCTGGCATCCCATATGGATGCTGATTCTAGTCCTGGCTGCTCCTCTTCCAATCCAGCACCATGCTGTGGCCTGGGAGAGCAGTGGAGGATGGCTCAAGTCCTTGGGCCTCTGCACCCATGTGGGAGACTCAGAAGAAGCTGCAGGCTCCTGGCTTCAGATGGGTACAGCTCTGGCCATCGCAGCCATTTGTAGAGTGAACCAACGGCTGGAAGACCTTTCTCTCTGTCTCTCCCTCTCACTGTTTGTAACTCTACCTTTCAAATAAATAAATACAATCTTTAAAAAAATGTAATTATATTTGATATACAGAGAGATTGCTAAGATGCAAACATGGTTTCATTGTATTGCCTTGGCCTGAAGTGTCAGCCCATTTGATTTCAGAAACAAATGCAATAACAACTATTTAGCTATTTATTTATAGTTTTAATGTGGATCCTTCTATTATTTCAAATAAGAGGGATAGTGGGTCCCTCTCATTTAAAATAGGGTTAGAGGGACCCGGAACCTAACCATAACCCTAATCCTAACCCTAACCCTAACCTTAATCCTAACCCAACTTCAGCATTTATTTAAACTATAACCTCCACAAATTGGGAACCTCTGGTCTGAGTTACTTATTCTGAAAATGTAAGCAGTGGGACAATTATATCATCTTGATTAAGAACAGATGATGCTTTTCCAGTGATATTAGAGATATTATCCACCAAGTATTCCAAAACCATCTTATTTACTCCAGAAACAGAAAACTCTCTCCTCCTGCACTCCATTCCTCTCAGCTGTCTCTTTTGTTATAATTTAAGTCAAGTGACCAAAGGATCTTTAGTTAAGTACTATTTTTTTTCACAGAGGCTGACATAAAATCCTACTTTTTAGAACAAATTAACATAGAAGGCTTAGTATAGGATATGATCTACTATAATGCAAGTTTTCCTAAAGTAACTTTTATTCAAATATTTATTAAGCATTTGCTATGTACCACGAGTTGTGCTATGAGCAGAGGATACAGACAAATTTTATGGTTTTATGGGAGGAAGCAAACAGACAGTAACCAAACCACAGAAAGAAACATCAGAAGGAGAAGTACTGTGGTAAATAATTGTTTTCTTTCTCAAACGCCAACCACAGAGCCTGAGCATCAGTTAAATGCGGTACTCACCACCACAATTACATTCGCTGCTGGGACTGGAAGATTTTCCACCTCAGGATCCTGACCAGACACGGCCAATAGATTGAGAGATGGGTCATAGGCGGGTCTAGGAAATGCCGAATTAACCATCTGGTGGCGTTTGCGTATTTGAGCTTCAGAAGAGGCATGGTAGCTATGTTTATATATCTTTTGTGGAGCTATTTCCAGGCTCTTCTCAATGTCTTGTGAATGGTGATAAATGAATATCGGCTTCCCAACCTTCTTCTGATGAATCGCCAGAAAGGGATCATTATTTCCAGAAAAGCTTCCTGAAAGAGGAAAAAGCAGGAAGAAAATCAAAGATCCTGTTCAGTAAGACTGGCAGAAATACTTGATAAAGAGAGTGAACCTTTCTTAGAAGACTTCGGCTTGTGCAGGATTTAGATTAGTTTGTCACCACTTTTTCCCCTGCTGCATCGTCTCCTACAGATAGAACATACTTGCTGATGTGGAGGCACCTTGGAGAGTTTATGTGGACAAAAGTGGGCGTAGTTTGAAAAAGCCCTATGAATTGGATATTCTGTACTTTTATTTTGGAAGGCATTTCCTCTTCTACCTAAACTCACAGCTCTAATGGCCCATTAGACTTCTATTTCTAGATGTCCTATATGGTTCTCAGATGATAAACATTTATATCATATTTAAACTTTCCTTCCTTTATATTACATTTCTTACAACTTTCATTACATACTTATTTTACCTAGCTTGTATTATAATTGGATATATGCAGTTTCTTAAAATTCTTGCAGAATATTTTAAGCTCACTGAGGGAAGAAATTTGAATACATTCATGCTGGTTGCAATGTTTAGTTGTCTAACAATATCCATTCTCTTTTTCTGACAAGCAATATGGTCATACAGATAAAAACTGCATTCCCCAGCTTTCTCTACAATTATAATGCCATTTGGTCAAGATATAGCAATTGGGTTGTGAGGCAACACGGCATGAGAAGAGACAGGATGTGACCTGCTCTGTGCTCTATCTTTCTACCTTTTCTCCTTTGTGCTAGTTAAAATGAAGATGACCTGGTGGGAATATGAGGCAGGAGCTATAGCTAAAGATGGCAGGGCAGTAAGACAAAAGGATACTGCTCTATGACAAAAGTAGAATTATCATCCATACCAAAGCCCAGAGTTCCCACTCAGATGTTATATGGGAAAGAAATAATTCTCTATCTTCTTCCAGCTACTGTTATGTTATGTTATGTTAAATACTTTGTTAGTAACAACTGAGCCTAATACGAATACATTCATTCTTATTTCTCCTTTTTCTCCCTAGATAATTAACTATTTACTTGAAAGGGAGAATGACAGAAAGACACATAGACATAAACACACACAGACACATACACATACACACAGAGATAGGAGCAAGCGAGAGCGCGAGAGAGAAAGAAATAGAAGGAGAGACAGAGAGAGAGAGAGATCTTCCATCTGCTGGTTCACTCCCCAGATGGCTTTCATGGCCAAGTTTGGGGAAAGCTGAATCCAGGAACCTGGAACTTCATCCTGGTATCCTATGTGGGTGACAGAAGACCAAGTACTTGGGCCATCTTCCACTGATTTCTGAGGCACATTAGTAGGGAGATGAATCAGAAGTGGAGTGGGGCCCAGCACTGTGGTGTAGTGCTGGCATCCCTGATTTGAGAACTGCCTGGCACTGATTTGAGAACTGCTGCTCCACTTCTGACCCAGCTCTCTGCTATGGCCTGGGAAGTCAACAGAAGATGGCCCAAGTCCTTGGGCCCCTGCATCCGCACTGGAGACTCAAAAGAAGCTCCTGGCTCCTGGCTTTGGATTGGCGCAGCTCCGGCTGTTGTGGCCAATTGGGAAGTGAACCAGTGGATGGAAGACCTCTCTTTCTCTGCTTCTCCTTCTCTCTGTGTAACTTTGACTTTCAGATAAATAAAATAAATCTTTAAAAAAAAAGTGGAGCAACTCCAACCAGTATTCCAATATGGATATGGCCAACATTGCAAGTGGTGGCTTAATTCACTGCAGCATATCAATGGTCCCTCATCTATACTGATTCTATTAAATTATCTATTGAATTGAATAACTGCTTCTCCTAATTTGTCAGTGGCCACAGATGGAAGTAGATGACACATGTGAATCAAAAAGAATATCATGGGGTAGGCATTGTGTTAAGCTGGTGTTTGGGACCCCTGTATCCCATATTGGAGTGCATCATTCTAGTCTAGACTACTTCACTTTCAGTCTGGCTTCCCGCTAATGCCCAGCCTAGGAAGCAGAAGATGATGGTTCAAATTCTTGGGTCCCTGTCACATTTTGTGAGGTACCTGGATGGAGTTTCAGGCTCCTGGCCTTAGCTTGGCCTAGTCCTTGATGTTGGAATATTTGGGGGAGTGAATCAGTAGATGGGAGATTTTACTCTCACTTTTACATTAAAATAAACATAATTTTAAATAAAATAAAAGGATCTCATATGTCTAAAAAAATAGCACCGACTTGATTAGCTCTTGTCCTGACGGTTGATGTACAATGTAATACTTTATCCATTTTAGTATTTTTTTTTTTTGTTCTAGTACCATTGGTTGAACTCTGTAATTAACACACAATTATTCTTAGGTGTTTAAATTTTAACTGAAAAGTGATCCCTGTTAGGAATTTGGAAAACATTATGCTGAGTGAAATAAGCCAATCCCAAAGGGACAAATACCACTTGTTCTCCTTGATAGGTGACAACTAACTGAGCACCAAAAAGGAAACCTGTTAAAGTGAAATGAACACTATGAGAAACGGTGACTTGATCAGCCCTCACCCTGACTGTTGATGAGCAACTTGATATGTTATCCCTCTTAGTATTTTTTTTTTGTTTGTTCTACTTAATACTTTTAGTTGAATGCTGTAATCAATACACAATTATTCTTAAGTGCTGAAACTTAACTGAAAAGTGATCCCTGTTAAATATAAGAGTGGGAATAAGAGAGGGAAGAGATGTGCAATTCGGGACATGCTCAAGCTGACTTACCTCAAACAGTAGAGTTAGAAACATACCAGGGGATTCCAATTCAATCCCATCAAGGTGGCATGTACCAATGCCATCTCACTAGTCCCAGTGATCAATTTCTGTTCACAATTGATGATAATGATAGGACTAAGAACCAAAGGGATCACATAAACAAGAATAGTGTCTGCAAATACTAGCTGATAGAATCAAAAAGGGAGAGAATGATCCAGCATGGGAAGTGAGATACACAGCAGACCCATAGAATGGCAGATGTCCTAAACAGCACTCTGGCCTCATAATCAGCCCTTAAGGCATGCGGATCTGGATGAAAAGCCCATGAGACTATTTCAGGCATGGAAAGCCCAGACACTCTGGAAAAAAAAAAAAAAAAACCTAAATGAAAGATCTCCGTGAGTGAGATCCCAGTGGAAAGAATGGGTCATCAAAGAAGGAGGTACCTTTCTCTGAAGGGAGGAGAGAACTTCCACTTTGACCATGGCCTTGTCTAAATATGTTCAGAGTCGGTGAACTCAGGGGGCTTCCATAGCCTTGACAGCTCATGACAAGAGCCTAGGGTGATTACTGAGGCCATAAACAAGAGTGTCAATTTGTTAAGTCAACAACAGGAGTCACTGTGCACTTACTCCTCATGTAGGATCTTTGTCCTTAGTGTGCTGTACATTGAGATTTAATGCTATAACTAGTACTCGAACAATATTTTTCACTTTATGTTTTTGTGTGGGAGCAAACTGTTGAAATCTTTACTTAATGTATGCTAAACTGATCTTCTGTATATAAAGAGAAACGAAAATGAATCTTGATGTGAATGGAAGCGGGGAGGGAGTGGGAAAGGGGAGGGTTGCGGGTGGAAGGGATGTTATGGAGGGGAAGCCATTGTAATCCATAAGCTGTACTTTGGAAATTTATATTCATTAAATAAAAGTTAAAAAAAAATAGCACCAGGTCAAATGCCAATTAGAGAAGCAAAGAGTTCCTCTCTATAAAATGATAAGTAAGCAAACAAATCACAAGATAGTAATGCCATCCACTTAGTGCCTAGCAAACTTAAGTATTTTGTACCTTTCCTTGGCAAGCCTACGGCAAAAATAATCTCTATAACTACCATCCACAGAAAATTGCTTATCTTTTTTGTACAATCATTCTTCCCCAACCCCCTACAATTTCATGTTTCACTTACTAAAGCTTGCAAGAACTTGCAAGTCTGCAAATCTTAGCTATCAACAAGCTCAATTTCACTAGCACTATTGGGGCAGATAGAGTTCTCATGCTACTAAAAATTATATATTCCTCCATAGACAGAAGACCTTGTCTCTAGGGTAAGAAACGCAAGTTTGCTCAAGCATATGTAATGCTTTTCCCAAATCAAGGGATCATTTTTAAATGAAGAGTATTAAATGTAACTTAGGATAAAATAATATATATTCTATTTCTTTTTGTTATTAGAAATTTTATTAATATAAAGACAATAGATTTCATCTACTTCATAGGTAGAATTCTTATTTATTTATTTATTTATTTATTTATTGACAGACAGAGTTAGAGAGAGAGAGAGACAGACAGACAGAGAGAAAGGTCTTCCTTCTGTTGGTTCACCCCCCAAATGATTGCTACGGCCGGTGCGCTGCACTGATCCAAAGCCAGGAGCCAGGTGCTTCCTCCTGGTCTCCCATGCAGGTGCAGGGCCCTAGCACTTGGGCCATCCTCCACTGCACTCCCAGGCCACAGCAGAGAGCTGGACTGGAAGAGGAGCAACCAGGACAGAATCTGGCGGCCCGACCGGGACTAGAACCCGGGGTGCCGGCACCGCAGGCAGAGGATTAGCCTAGTGAGCCATGGCATGTGCCCATAGGTACAATTCTTAGAAGAAAACCATATTTCCTTCCCTCTCTCTCTCCTTCCCTCATCCTCTTCCTTCCCTTTTTAAAATTTTTGTAAAAACATGATTTTAATCTACTGTATAATCACAGTCTTAATGCACCATTAATTATAAAATTCAACAAGTAAAATGTAGGAATACTACAAATGCACAGGAGTATAAGCAAGAGTTAAAAACAACAATCAAATCACGATGTCCAGCCGGCGCTGCAGCTCAATAGGCTAATCCTCCGCCTGCAGCGCCGGCACCCTGGGGTTCTAGTCCTGGTCAGGACACTGGATTCTGTCCTGGTTGCTCCTCTTCCAGTTCAGCTCTCTGCTGTTGCCCCGGCAGGTGCAGTGGGAGGGATGGCCTAAAGTCCTTTGGCCCCCTGCCCCCCCCCTGGGAGAACAGGGAGGAGG